TGATAGCAGTCTTTTTGTTTATTGCCAATTTGATGGATACGCATTGATATCACATTCTTCGTGGATTTTACTTGCATTTTCTTGGTTACTAGTGAGGTTGAGTACCTTTAAATGTGTTTATTGGCTATTCATATTCCTCCTTTGTGAATCACATGTCTGTATGGCTTTTTAATTCTGGAATTGAATTTTGTGAATGATGTGAGCTAGAGATCTAATTTTATTTTTTGACAAACAAATCATCAACACTGCTTATCTGTTTGTTGTATTCTTCCCCTACTGATTTATATGCTATGTTCATTGTATACTAAATTCACATGTATACTTCCAAAGTCTTTATTCTGTCTCGTCATTTTATTTTTCTTTCATGACTAATATCACATTGCTTGAGTGACTAAAACATGGTCATGTAAATGTAACATAAGCTTTGTAGATCCATATGTTTGACAGGTGGCAGGTGATGCATACCTCATTGGTTTTATTTATTTATTTACCTGTTTTTGGTCTTTGCTATTGTGTTTGGCTCAAAAGTTTTCTTGGGTTTTATTACTCAATATTTCTTAGATGAATTTTTAAAACATTTTGTCAAGGTTTGCCCTGGCCGGTTTGGCTCAATGGTTAGAGTGTTGGCCTGCGGTCCAGAGAGACCCGGGTTCAGTTCCCGCTAAGGACGGGTACTTCGGGTTACAGTTTGTCCCCGGCCCTGGTTGGTCCTGCGGGTGGCAGCCACTCGATGTGTCCCTTTCACATCAATGTTTCTCTCTCTCTCTCTCCCTCCCACTCTATCTGAACAAAAAAAAAGGAAAAAAATGTCCTCGGTCGAGGATAAAAAGAAAACAAAACATTTTGTCAAGATTTAGTTGAGTTATTAATTAGGATAACATCGAATTTGTAGATTACATTGGAGAAAAGTGGCATGTTTACAACTTTGAGTGTTTCTATTTGGAAACCTAGTATATTTCTGTTTCTTTAGTACTTACATACTTTAATAAAATTTATCTACTTTATTGATTCCCACTCTCCCCAAACCCAGATTCTTTAACTCTATTTTTGTCATGTTTTTCTGTCATTAATTCAGCTTTTATTTGTATAAAGTCAATTAATTTTGGATTTCATTCTTTCTTTTCTACTTTCTTGAGTTCAAGCTTTGGTTCATTCTTTTCAGTACTTTCTAGGAGCTGCCCTGTGGGCATCCATGCTCCTCCGAGCGCGCTGGGGCCCTGGCCTCACGGGGCTCTGCGGTGCCCTCGGGTGCTTCCTCATGTTCTTTTGCTGGGGAAACTGTTACTTCTGATCTTGATTTTCTTATCCAAAGATTATTGGGAATACTATTTTTAAACTTCCAAATTTATTTTGGCTAGTCTGTTTTTAATGTGTCCTTCTTTGCTTTTAGTTGTGCCTATGTTACATCTGTTTCCTGTGAGGTTTATTGAGATTTTCTTGTTGCCTAAAACATAGTTTGTAAGACTGTCCCATGTGTGTTTGAAATAATTTATAGTCCTTGTTACGTGGTCACAAATCTTCTATACATCTATAAACGGAATTGGTTAATCCTGCCCTATAAATCCATATCCTACTGTATATTTGATCTGCTTGATTTATCTGTTCTGAGAGAGGTATGCTGAAATCTTCCCCCACGATTGCACCTTTGTCAGTTTCTTCTCTTCTCCTATTTTAGTTTTTTTCTTTGTATTTTTTCCAGGCTATATTATATGTATAAAGGTTTCTGACTGATATTTCTTCACGGTAAACTGTATCTTTCCTCCCTATGAAGTATCCCTCTTTGGCCACTTTTATCCTTTTCAATTTAAATTTTTGTTTTTGTTTTTGTTTTTTCTTCTCCCTGATGTTATCATTACTATACCTGCTTTCTTTTTGTTAATATTTGCCTCCTTTTAAAATCCTTGATGTTTGACTTATTTGATTTAGGTGTTTTATTTATTTATTTATTTATTTCTTTATTTATTTATTTATTTATTTTTATTCTTACCTGAGGACAATTTTTTTTTTTTTTTTTTTTTGCATTTATCTTCAGATAGACTAGGAGGGAGAGAAGGAGGAAGAGAGAGAGAAACATTGACATGAGAGAGACACATTGACCGGCTGCCACCCACACGACCCCAACTAGGGCCCGGGACAAACCACAACCGAGGTACGTGCCCTTAGCAGGAACCGAACCCAGGACTCTGATCCATGGGCCGACACTCTAACTGCTGAGCCCAACCAACCAGGGCTAGGTGTATCTTTTATATAAGAATGTACACTATCTGTACAAAAAATGGAAAGATATCCTCGGGTGAGGATAAAAAAAAAAAGCCCTGGCCAGTTTGGCTCAGCGGTTAAAGAATGTACATACGAATTATGTAATTCAAGATGAAATTCTACATCGTATAACAAGTGACTTGAATCCATTCACAAACATTGTGACTGATGATATAATTAGGCTTACTATCTTCATGTATGTGTTTTATTTATTGTGCTTATGGCTGAAAACCTTCTTCAGTTTTAGCCCCCAGAACCAACCAAAGGGCCTGGCTCCAAAAAGTAGGTATTCGACATAACAATGTCCCTGATCTCATCCTGAATCTCATTCGAGAAGTAACTGTTGGCAAAATATCTCAGTTGTAATGGCGTTGGGATTAAAGTTCAAATTATTGGTAAACAACATTTCAAGCAGGATTTAGTCACATCATTGTTCTAAGGGACCTTCCCTATTCATGTAGATTTAACGGAGGAGATTTTGGGTTTTCTCTCAATATGAGGTCTGGTAGAGGTTCCCGTGGCGAGGGAGGTAAAGACGAAGGTGAGATCCCGGGACCGGGAAGCCCGGGAGGCCTTGTGCACCAGCCACACCTGCAGGCACACGCTGCGCACGCCCAGCAAAGCCCTGCGCCCCCTGCAGCACACACTGTGCACGCCCAGCAAAGCCCTGCGCCCCCTGCAGCACACACTGTGCACACCCAGCAAAGCCGTGCGCCCCCTGCAGCACATGCTGCGCACACCCAGCAAAGCCCTGCGCCCCCTGCAGGCACACACTGTGCACACCCAGCAAAGCCGTGCGCCCCCTGCAGGCACACGCTGCGCACACCCAGCAAAGCCGTGCGCCCCCTGCGGCACATGCTGCGCACACCCAGCAAAGCCGTGCGCCCCCTGCAGCACACGCTGCGCACACCCAGCAAAGCCGTGCGCCCCCTGCAGGCACACGCTGCGCACACCCAGCAAAGCCCGGCGCCCCCTGCGGCTCCGCATCCCAGAGGACCTGATGTTTCTAGTGCCACCTACTAGAGTGCTGGATAATTGGTTCATTTTAAAAAGAATAATATCATGGCAACATTAGCTGTATTGCAGACAGTTCTTCCAGGGAAAGCTGGATGCAAACAAACGCATTTAATTAGGGATATGCCAAAATGAAGTCAGGCTGGCTCAGAGTCCATTAGCCATCAGTTTCTCACCTTAATTGACAAAGAAATTGGAAAAGTAAAAAAGCATATGTTCTGTTAGAGTGAAAAGAATACTAGACTGGAATTGAGGGCCTCTGGGTTTGACTGTGCTATTGAGTTCATCGAAACATCCCTGGAAATTTCTTTCAGGACAACAGAGCTGAATAAGGTGTTTCTCATGTTTCTTCCAACTCTAAAATGCTTCTGGTCTGTGTTTGGAAAATCTTTTTTTTTTTATCCTCACCTGAGGACATTTTTCAATATTTTGTTCAGATAGAGTGGGGGGGGGGAGAGGAAGAGAGAGAGAGAAAAACATCGACGTGAAAGGGACACATCTAGTGGCTGCCACCCGCACAACCCCAACCAGGGCCAGGGACAAACTGCAACCGAGGTATGCGCCCTTAGCGGGAACCGAACCCGGGTCTCTCCGGATTGCAGGCCAACGCTCTAACCACTGAACCCAACCAGCCAGGGCTGGAAAATCTTATGTGAAGCTCTAGTAACAGTTAATCTAACCAGCATCTTTTGCATTCTGCCATGAACTACTATTTGTAACTTAAACCAGGTTTATTTTATTCAGTTATGATTATAAAACCACCCACATTTCATAGCTTTGAACGCTGTGTCAAGCCGCAGTGTATTTTCTAAGCCATCACACACCAGCCGGTCACTGAGCAGACACGATAGAATGCCGTGGCTCCTCCAGCCGCTTTTCCCTGTCCAGAGCAGCGGCCGCCCCAGCTTCTTTGGCACTTGGAAGAAAGGACGCAGGTGACAGGTGTGCCCCTAGGTGGACGCTGTAGGTTTCTGTCTGTAGTGCTGAGCCCCGGTTGCGCCCTGGCCTCCTTGCTGAAATGACATTACTTTGCAGCATACGGTGAATGACAGAATCCTCTTCCTTGCCTGGATGTCAGATGGACGCCGGAGATCTGCCTTGCAGATAGAGCGCTCAGTAACGATGCGGAAGTGTAATCCACGATCACCCGGCACATGATTTGAGCACAGGCTGCTCTGGGCTGAGGTTAATGATGAGGATCAAGATTGACCCAGAAAAGATATAGCTTGGCTGAGCCAATGGATTGTCATAGCTCTTCTCCATCCGCATTTTCTTCCAGTGTTCTGCCATTTCCTTCTTCCCATCCATCCCCGAGGCATCTGCATTCTTTGGGGGATGCTGGTATTTTGAACAGTGGTTTTGAACTATTCTTGTAATATAGGGGTTCCAGTAAACCCTCTGAGGACAAGAAGAGAGAAGGCAGTGGGTGGGGCACAGACCCTCTTTAATACATACAAATATGTGTAAGTAATACATTTGGCAATCCAATATATCTTAAATGGAGTCTAACTGCTAGTGGTAGGACTGTCGATATTTTCTTACAGCCCTTTCCTAAAATGTCCACTGACTTTTAAGAGTACAAAAGTGAATTGTCTGGTTTTGCTCATCAAAGAGGGCTTGTGCTGCCCGAGGACGTGGCGCTCACGGGTCGTGGTGCACCAGGCCCCGCGCTCCTCGTGACAGAGCCCTCCCCGGCCATGTCCTAACCCCGTGTCTCTTCCCTCCAGAATGGCTGCAGTCTGTCCAGGCCACCATGATCCTGTCCGTCATCTTCAGTGTTCTGTCCCTGTTCCTGTTTTTCTGCCAGCTCTTCACCCTCACCAAGGGGGGCCGGTTTTACCTCACTGGGATCTTCCAAATCCTTGCTGGTAAGTAGTGACGAGAAAGTCCCTGTGCAAGCTGAGCCGTCCAAGGCTGGGGACCCGTGAATCAGTGGGAGGATGTGGCCCTAGAATGATTGATTTTCCTGAGTCTGAACATTGGATGGTTTCCATAAAGTACAGGTGTGTGTGTGTGTGTGTGTGTGTACAAGTGTGTGCGCCTGTGCATATATCTTAGAATTGGGTAACTGTCTGCCTCTTTGTGGAATGATGTGCACAGAAAATAGGAGTTAGGGGCTCTGGAAGGAGGGTCCCTGACCAAACCAGACCCACCACCAGGAAGGAGCTGACTCTGGACACACAACCAGAGGTGAATGCTGAGGTGTCAGTACAGCAGAGGCCCGTCGTGAGGGTGGTCCCTGTGGGCTGTGTTATGTGTGAGGAGCCACTCTGGCTGCAGCGTAGACAATGGCCCTGCCTGGTGCTGAGAGCTGCCAGGGTTCAGATATGTGTCCCTTACTCTGCGCCGTGGTGAAGCCACACTGACAGTCTTCCTCTCCCTTACTCCAGCTCCTCCGTTCCACTGGGCTTTGATGTCCTGTTGTCTAATGCAAGTGTCTTAATATTGGCACCAATGTGTAACCTGCCATCATTTCCAGACATGAGACCCTGACACACATGAGAGGTCTTCTTTACCTCCTCCCTAAACTGCCTTCAGGTTGTCCATATGTGTGCTGTGAGAGTCCTGGAAGCTTCTAGTATAGAGGGCAACATCTTGCGACTTTGTCTCTAGATCCTGACTAATGTCTTACTCCATCGACTCATCCTTTTGTGCCTTGACTGCCAACTGACTGACTCAGTAGGACATCGTAGAGAAGTAAGAGACATATGTGGTAGATCACAAACTCCATGTGGCCCAGCGTACATCTGGTACCCTGAGACGTTCTAGATTCTGGCTGTCGGAGTCGGCGAACGGCATAGCATCCTTTGTTTTAGTTGGTTGTCAGCACGTCCATGGTGCTGAACACCAGCTGTGCTCAGGAGAAGTGAGGGGAGGTTTGAGAACAGCTCATGTGCTCTGGATGGATGGATGGATAGATGGATGGATGGATGGATGGATGGATGGATGGATGGATGGATGGGAGTAATGCCCTACACAGGGCTGTATGGTAAGAGACACAGCCAGAGGTTGAATGTTGATGACCTTTTCTAAAAGCCAGAGAGCTGCCCTTATCTGGAAAAAAGGAAGTGACCTGGATATCACTTCTCATTAAACACTTAAATATAACATTTCAATATGCACAGTTTTAGGATTTCAAAGCCGCACAGTGCTTTGCTACTTACATGGTATTATTACACCAAACCAAGCTCCTGGGTTGTCTCCAGCTTTGTCAAATTACCATTACACAGTAAGGGATCATTTCTAGGGATGTTTGAAGCAGACATAATTTTCCTCTCCATTTCCAGAAGTAATACACAGAACTAAAATGTATTCTGGGATTCTTTGGCTCACTATTTAAGTTTGATATATATTTAAATGATGATTATATCCATTGTGTCCATGGATATATCCTCGAGATAAAGTAATACAGGTTTAAGAAGCAGAAGTTTCATAAAATATTTATAGTTTATCTATACAAGCTTGTTACTTTACTGATACATAAACTGGCATTGGGGGGAATAAACTGAGATACCACAGGGACTGAACATAGTTAGCTACCTCTTTATATTTAGAAATACAGAATACACCGACATTTTAAAGGAACACAAAGTCCAAGGTAAAAACTCTGCTTATTATATAATGTTTCATTGAATCTGATTTACAGTGGAAGATTGATGCAAATTTGCATGATTTCTTATTCCTGGGTTCCCATGCATCTGTGATGAGTAAGAGCCTGCACCTTTAGAACTAATTAAACTGAAAATATTTGGCTGAGAAAAGTGAGGTTACTGCTGAAGGGGCTTCTCAGATCAGGCAGTACTGTCCTCTTGTTTTCTGACTGAGCTATTTCAGCTTTAAATTCTGCAACAGTGTCTCTTTAACAGCCTCATTTTAAGTCAAAACCCAAAGTCCAGAGATAAGAACCATTAAGTCTCAAATGCTGTACCTGCACTGTGTTCAAGTATTTCGCTCAGCAAAACAAACAAAAAAACCAAAAAACTCTTAGGAGTTAAGACTTTCTAATATTTCCAAAGAATATTTACTATCCATACTCGCTTCACTGAACTCATGTAAGCCTTTTAGAACTCTGCTATAAAACCTCTGAATTTAAAAGCACAGAAGTTGTTCTTCCTACCCCTTCAAATCTAGTTACTTATCTCTCACAAGACCTACTTTTTAGTTATCAGTTTGTCGGTTTAGCCAACTGTATTTGAACAGGACTTTATCTTGAATTAGAAGAGTTGAGCCAGAATAGCAGTTGTAATTTGTAAGTTCTAAGAAGGTCCCGTTCCTAATTGACTCCGGTCGACGCGACCTGAGGGTAGCCTTCCGGAGCCGCGGTCTCTGCCGTGCCACATGGGAACGTGCCGTGGGGTCTCTCCAAGACACGAGAGCCGGGAGACTTAGGGATTTGACCTCAAGATTGTGTGACTCCTAATGTCTGACAGTTCTAAATCAACTTTGTCATGAGTTTCCCAGTTCACGGCCTGTGAAGAAACCAGTGACTAGAGAGGAACTTAGGGGAAGGCTGTTGCAGTTGAGAACTGATGATAGCCTGAGAAGCTGCAGCTTCATATTGAGGAACAAATCGGAAAAGCTAAAACAGACAAAAAACAAAAATAGGAAAAGAAAGAGGGGCAGGAGGAAGAAAGAAGAAAGTAGCCCTACAATCATGGATATAAAATCTCAGAGTGCTCCTGCCACAGTAGACAGGGCCACGCAGGGTAGATGCATCCTCAAAGCCTAAATAAAGCGTTTTAAGTGGAAGCCACCAGAGTCTCCCAAGTGACAGGTGTAAGCTGGGTTATCTCTGCACAGCTTCCCTTCGGAGGGCCTCGCTGTGACCTTTAGAGGTGCAGGAGAGGCCGTGACTGGAGATTCGGGAGCTGGTCCTGCCTTGCTCCAGGTGACAGCTCTGCGTGGTTATAGGTTCCCTTGCTTTGCTGCATCATCCTTTCTCCGTTTCATGAGACGCCATGAGTCTCACATTTAAGAACTCTCTTTCCTTGATCACATACTTCTTAGATTGGCTGCTTCCCAAAGACATATCGAGAGGCGGCTTCATCTAGTTAATTGCTTTTCCATTTTAGCTGCACAGCAGAAATACTTTTTAAAAGTGGGGGGTGCTTTTTTAAAAAAAAATACGTGCTCAGACTTCATCCCTGCAGAGTCCTACTTAGGAGCTCTTGGGTGGGGCCGCTCCCTGGATGAGTCCGAGGTTCCTCCAGGGTCGGGAACCTCTGGTGGAGCCATTAAACTGCCCCTAGTCCCATTGTGAGTTCTTCTGGGACATTTCTCCACAGACAGCTCATGCTATTCACATGTCATTGATTCTTCTACACCCGCTTCTTAGAGACGGGTCATCCTGACCCTGTATCTGGATTTTGGTGGCATCCTATTTTCAGAGCCTGTATCCTTCTGTTCCCAGACAGTACGTCCCCTGCCGCAGCTCTGTTGCACTGGGTTGCACTAGGTAGGAAACATCAAGAAATTCATGTAGATACAGACCTGAAAGACATATGCCTGTCTGCTTGTTTCACTACACCCAGCAGTGAGCTCTGTGCAAGCCACATAAAAAAGACCCTGAATAACCTCCCTGGATGCTGCAGTTCGGTTCCATTGGCAGAACCGAACTCAGGTCACATGTGCAGTTACTGTTTATTGTAAGTAACAGGAACAGAAAACATGGGAGAAGGAACTCCTGAGTGAGTTTTTACTTTTTCTGTTTGTTTTGTTTCTCTGGTCAGATGGACGTAGATATCGACAAGGCGCTTTAGGGTAAAGGCATGTGAGAGATGAACAGGAGCACAGTGCCCCCCTGTTCTGAGTGGGTCAAAGGCAGCTTCAGCTGCACACCACAGGGAACTCCTCCTTCGGAGGGACTCATTCCAGATTCCAGCGTTGCACTGGCCATGTCCAGATCGGAGTCTAGAGGGCAGTGGGTGACTTTCTAGGCTGCAGGGGCCGCTTGGGGTGCTGAACGTGGAAACTGGGCCAGCAGCACAGGGAAGACTTCGTGTAGATCAGACTCAGAGCCCGTGCTGTCAGAGTGACAGACCTCCCAGCCTCTTTCTGCTCTCCTGCCCACCTTGTCACCCTCGGAGGAGGTGGGTGAGACAGATGCACTCTCTGGCTCATTAAACCACCACCACCGAGGCACCTGCCCCCTGCTGGCTCGGTGGTCTCACCTGACATTCACTTTCCAGCCGGCCTCACCCTGGCTTCTGCTCCAGGCTCTCAGATGAACAGCTAATGCAAAGGTTACCAAGCTCTGCTTTTAAGTCATTTGCTGAATTCCTCCACTCCTTTCAATACTGTTGACTGTTCACTACTGAAACTGTTTATTCCCTCAGCTTTCCAAGTCATTACCATTTTCCCAGTTACCTAAGTTAACCCACCAGTCATGCCAGAGTCCCCTCCCTCCTCCCACTTCCAGTCCCCACCGAGCCCCACCACTGGGTAGCATTCTACATCGACAGGGTGTCCCTTTCTTTTCTCTTACCCACTAACAGCACTGCAGCTGCGCAAAAGCCAACTCATGTACCTTTCTGTCCCTGCCTTGTCCTCACCCCTCAAGCTGTTTCCCGCACTGCTGCCGGATGAGCTTTCTTTCTTTTTCAAAAACAATAATCTTATTGATTTTTTAGAAAGAGACGAAAGGAGAGAGAGATACGAGATCGAAACATGGATGTGAGAGAGAACCATCGATCGGCTGCCTCCTGCATGCTCCCTGCTGGGGACGGATCCCGCAGCCTGGGCGTGTGCCCTGACTGGGAATCGAACCCGACTCGCAGTCCACGGGATGATGCTCCATCCACTGAGCCACACCAGCTGGGTGGATGGTCTTTCTGAAACCCACACCTGACCATCCTTTCTCCTCTGCTGAAGTGTCTTCAGCATGCCACTGAGGCCCTCTCTTTCCGGCCTCAGGGGGCCCTCCAGCCTCATCTTCCGCTGCTCCCCCTGCATCACAGGACACGCCTTCGTCACCACCTGCTGGTGCTCTCTACCACGCTCTGCAGTTTTCCTTGCCTCGCCCATGTTTTTCCCTCCGCCTGGATTCCCTCCCCCCTGTCTTCACCTGCTCACTCTTACACAGCCTTTAGTCCCCGGTCAGGCACCGCCTTCCCGTCAGGCCTCTCCAGCCCCGTGCGGACGCGCCCGTCCGTGCTCGGAGCATCTGCTGCGTTCTCTGCCCTCTCTTCATTCCCGTTGTGCACTATTGGAAGTTGGTACTGACATGTCTGTTTTTGGATGATGCTCACCCTTTGAAGGGGGGCCAGGTCTTGTTGATCTGGGTGCTCTCCGCACCCAGAACAGTGCCTGCACACAATAAGTACTTGTTACATGTCTGTTGAACAAACAGAATACCAATAAGGAAGTTTAGAGAACTCCCACCGCTTATTTCTTCCTTTGCCTCTGGCCCCTTGGTTGCTCCCTTCCAAAGTGCCGGGCTCTGATTTCTCGCCTGCAGTTGCTATCACCCTTAAAGGGGGCTGGAGATCTCCTCTTTAACAGGGCTTCAGGGGGACTGTTCTGGGAGTTGATTCAGAGCTAGCCATCCCGAGACAGGTGGAAACTCTTGGGGACTCTTGAATGGCCAGTACTTTTATGCTGTCTGGACGGGGGCTGTGCCCTTCCACTTGAAGACGACCTACACTCCCAGACTCAGGCTCCCCTCAGGGCATCCTGGTCACTGCCAGAGCGCAGGCTGCTCACCTGCGGGGAGAGAAGACCTACCAGTGTGTCAGGACCTTCACTTACCCCCACCGCGGGCACCATCACTTACCTCCACCGCGGGCACCTTCCCCGCTTACCCCCACCGCTTACCCCCACCGCGGGCACCTTCCCCACTTACCCCCACCGCTTACCCCCACCGCGGGCACCTTCCCCGCTTACCCCCACCACTTACCCCCACCGCGGGCACCTTCCCCGCTTACCCCCACCGCTTACCCCCACCGCGGGCACCTTCCCCACTTACCCCCACCGCTTACCCCCACCGCGGGCACCTTCCCCGCTTACCCCCACCGCTTACCCCCACCGCGGGCACCTTCCCCGCTTACCCCCACCGCTTACCCCCACCGCGGGCACCTTCCCCGCTTACCCCCACCGCTTACCCCCACCGCGGGCACCTTCCTCACTTACCCCCACCGCTTACCCCCACCGCGGGCACCTTCCCCGCTTACCCCCACCGCTTACCCCCACCGCGGGCACCTTCACCGCTTACCTCCATCGCGGGCACCTTCACCACTTACCCCCATCTCGGGCACCTTCACCACTTACCTCCATCACAGGCACCTTCACTTACCTTCATTATGGGGGACCTGCAGAAACTCATTTCCATTACTGGTTGCTGATCAAGTCAGTCATAGTCCACTTACGGGGAGCAATGTTTGACTTTTAGGGACTATTTATGGCATTAACTGCTCTAGATTCCAGCACATCTGTTGCTTTACGTAGGGAGGGCCTTTAATAATGTATTCCCTGTAACTTCAGTCTCCTGACAACAGTAATTATAGAGCGTGTATCCTCTCTCTGGCTTTGTAAGTATCTAAGCTTATTGCTTTTTGAAGCAGAACTTAAATCCATTCACTTCTGTGATTGCACTAGGGTAAATGTCAGAAAAATCAAGCCACCTCGTGGGTTATTGCCCTTGTGTCTCTCGCCTCTCTTGGTTGCAGATGGAATGTTTTCTCTTTGATGTTACCTTTTCCAGTGAAATCTGGGCACAGCTGGTCTACACGGCTACAGTGGCATTTTTATACCAGCGCTGGTTAGGCACACAGCCCGTTTGGAAGCCCTGCCAACACAATAAGCATTGGCCTGCCATCCAGCGTTCTGTTTACACCTCTTCCTCTCCTTCGGTCATTGCTCCTCTTGTGTAGCCCTGCCCTCGTTAGGGAGCCCGATGCAGCCCGAGACACCGCCAGCGTTTCCTCAGGGCAAGAGCGAGCAGTTTGGAGAGGGGCATGGAGAAGCAGGGGAAGGCTGAGGACCATGGATCTCAAGGCAAACAGAGTGTGTGCCCAGCAGATCAAACTGTGTCTCTCTCTCTTTTTTGGGGGGGTACGTGCCCCTAGCAGGAACCGAACCGGGACTCTCTGGTCCACTGGCCAATGCTCCAACCGCTGAGCCAAACTGGCCAGGGCTTTTTTTTTTTTGAAAACTGTGTTTCTCAAACAAAAATTTGACAGCTGCAGGTTCCCCTCTGACACAGATGTCTTCACTGTCTCCAGACCTTCTGTAGGTAGCAGGGTCCTGGATCTGACCCCTCTGTCGTTCTGAGACTATTGTGTGGCTTTCTCGCCAGGGCCCAGTTGAGTGGGAGTTTTCTGCTCTGGCTTGCAGAAGGACAATCTTATCAGGGTGGTGAATGTGACATATTCCAGTTCTGCACTTTGTTCAAACAAAGTCGCAGTGTCCTGCCAAATAGCAGAGGGGTTAGCTGTAGGTGGTCTAGGTCATGGGGAGCTTGGGGACCACAGGAATCCCACATGGCCTTCTGCACTAATAATAGAGTCACTCAGAGCCTTTCAAAGACTCTGCTTTCAGGAGGAAACAGAGCAGGCTTTTGTGCAACTCCAGGCTGGGGTGCGACACCTCTGGCCCCTCCCTGCAGGGGATTCTGACTAGCATGGTGGGCAGGGACTGCCACGCTCGACCCTGCCTGCTTCACGAAGACCAAGGCAGACGTTCTTCTCCTTCCCACACCAAAGGGTTGCAGCGGTGGTGAGGGAGGGTAACCTGTCCTACCTGTGCATGTGATATTGTTTCACCCCTCTTTTGGCTTCAAGTCCAACCTTGGGGGCACCGAGAACTGTTGAAAAGGACCCAGTGCAATGAGCTGGCCCCTGATAGTCTCCTCCCTCTCCAGCTGTGAGTCCTCCTCATGTCCTTCCTCCTAGTCTCCTCCTCACCTTCTCATCTCCACCTACTCTTCTGTCTGCGTAGCGGTGCCCAGGGCACTGTGTGTTCGTCTCCGGTGCAGCAGTCCTGCCCCGGGCATCAGCATGGAGTCCTTTCTGCCCCGTCTTCCGCCTGGAGCCCGACCCTGTTGCCCTGACACGACTCAGAGAAGGGTAAAGTGTCGTGGTGCTTCCTCTGGCTCCAGGAAACACCCCACTCGTCTGCAGAGAGGTTCACAGGTTCCCAGGAGCTCCCCGACCCAACCATCCTGGTAGAGAGAGAGTCAGGTTTATCTTGCAGCCGGAATCTCGCTGGCCACCGTGTCGACTAGGAACTGATGACAGTTAAAGCCAGAGCAGTGGGGCCGAAACGGGGGCAGAGATGACGGGTGGACTGGTCACATAGCTCGGAAGTGGAGTGCCGATTGCTTCTTGTGTCCCGACGTCTCCCAGCCTCCTCCCGTCACCTTGGGGTCAGACAGCAGATCCTTCCGGAGCTGCACATGTTCGCCTTGAACAGCGGTGTCTGCAGCCCCCCTGGGGGCCTGGTGTGCGCTCAGGGGCAGTGAGCGGTGTGGGCAAGTGCCCGGTCCTGTGGACCCTCCACTGGCGGGTGGACAGGGCTTCCCCCCACGATGTCTCCCTCACTCAGATGGTCTCTTCTTTCCCCAGGTCTGTGTGTGATGAGTGCGGCGTCCATCTACACGGTGAGACACACAGAATGGCACCTCAACTCTGACTACTCCTATGGATTCGCCTACATCCTGGCCTGGGTGGCCTTCCCCCTGGCTCTCCTCAGCGGTGTCATCTACGTGATCTTGCGGAAACGCGAATGAGGCGCCCAGACGGCTCGTCTGAGGTTCTGAGCATACACAGGGAGGGGAGGCAGGAGACCTGACAAGAGAAAAACAAACAAACAAGAAACACAAAAATCTAGCCAAAAAACCCAAACTCAAACCAAACCAAACAGAAAGCAGTTGGGGGCGGGGGGTGGGGTTAGTGTTGATTGAAGATGTATATACTATCTACGGTTTATAAAACCTATTTATAACACTTTTTACATATATGTACATAGTATTGTTTGCTTTATGTGTTGACCATCAGCCTTGTGTTGAAACCTTAAAGAAATAGCTAAGGAACTTTACATCCTAACTGTATAATCAAGCTCAGCATTTTTGTTTTGGTTTTCGTTTTTTGTTTTTGGTTTTACCCAGAAATAAAATAACTCCATCTCATCCCTTCCCTTTCATCTGAAAGAAGATACCTCCCTCCCACTCCACCTCATCTAGAAAACCAAAGTGTGGGTAGAACCCCAAATGGCCAAAAGCCCTCTGATTGTGGGTGACCCGGTGTCCTGACGGAGGACACAGCGCCCACACCCATGTGGAGCCCTATGCGCATGGACAAAGCCCTCAGACTGGAGCCCTTGGCAAAATCACAGCTGTGGCTTTCGAACACTTGCCCTTGAGGGTGGGTGTCCTGGTCACACGTCTAGACAAGAAATTGGTGACAAAAGAACCTATGAAATGGTGCTATGTATTTACCATTCCTTATTATCACTAATCTTCTAAACTACTCACTGGAAATTCAATTAACAGTTGTTTTACACCATGAAGTAGAATGGAGACCTGAATAATTGCGTGTAATATAAATGGTTTATAACTGCTTTTGTACCTAGCTAGGCTGCTCTCATTACTATCATAAAGAAATAATAAACACAGCTTTATCACGCCCACATTTTTCTTGCGGTCGGAGCATCAGGACGAGTCTCGGACCCTCTGGGGCCATGAATGTCCAGGGCTCAGCTGGGTCTAGGCTGTTCTCTGTCTCCAAGGACTGTCTGGCAATGACTTGTATTGGCCACCAACTGTAGATGTATATATGGTGCCCTTCTGATGCTAAGACTCCAGACCTTTGCTTTGCTTTTTTTGATTTTATACCAATTGTGTGGACTAAGATGCATTAAAATAAACATCAGAGTAACTCACTGATCTCTCTTGGGTTTTTGTGGGAACCTGGGCGTGAGCGTGAGGTCCGTGTCAGGGTGGAGGGGCGCGCTGTAGTGGAGTGCAAGGCTGAGCAGGTCTGGGTTGCAGCTTGGTGTGAAGGGGCCAGAAGCATAGCCCTTGGACCAGGCTTCCAGAGGCCTGTGCATGTGTCTGCTCATTGGGAAGGACCGAGAACTGCAGTGGAAACGGACATTGTAAACGTTCATTGAGTCAGCACTCTCTGGTTCTCTGTTCTCTGATGACCGGCATGGGGACCACAGAGGTGTTCCTGCGCTCACCTCGTATATGGAGAATGTTAGCATAAGCAGCACAGACCTCTAACCTCCAGAAAGAAGGGAGGTCTGATAGGGTGGAAAGTCTGTGTGGTGGTAGGTTGAGGCCAGATTTTCAGATAAAATATTGGCTGGCCTCAACTGAGCTCCTCACACAGTCCCGAGGGATGGAAAGGGCCACTGTGTCATCTGGTTCCAGGTTTCTGGGCTGTGTCTCACTGATGCTCTTACCCACTGACTTTTCCTGTGCATCTGCGATAGACTGAGCTCGTGACATATTTCATATTCTTTGATGTTTATTGAGCACCGATGTGGAACCAGAGGTCAAGAGAAAATAATATAATTCTGTCTCAGAAGGTCATATGTCAGTGAGAGGCGCAAGGAAATAAGAGTCTACATTATTAATAAAGAGCCTATCAATCAGGCAGCCTGGCTTTGCATCTGCCCCCGGCCCCGTACCAGCCATCTGAGGTTGGACACGTTACTGAAGTGCTAAGAGTCAGTTGCCTCATCTGTCAGATGAAGGTGCCAATGCTGTGTTTATGATATTGTAGAGGTTAAGAGGAGAGAAGACGTGTGAAATGCTTGGCATAGTGGTGGTGGATAGCAAGCATTCTATGAATGAGTGTTTATCACAAATGCGACACTAGAGGTATAGGAGAAGGGGACATTGGTTGTTCTGGGGAATCTCGATGTCAGGCTGCACATTCGAATCTCCCAGGCTGGGGCCCATTGGAGCGACTGATTCCACATGTCTGTGGTGGGACCCTCCTGCCTGGATAGGTTTAAAGAACCCAGCTGGTAATTACAGCTACAACCAGGGATGGCCGCCTCTGAGCTTTCCCGTGCTTATTAGATTTTAACCTTGTTAATGTATCACCTGTAAAATACAGATCCTGGCTCAGGAGGGCTGGGGTGGGGATTTGGACTCTCTATTTCCAGTTAGTGCCTGAAGGACGCTGGTGCTGCTGGTCACACCTTGAGCAGCAAGGACCTGGAATGAAGCCACCGTCGAGCTCCTCACACTCCTGTGCCTCTGAACATCTGTGATTGAGCGGTTTCTGCCCTCAGAGGTTCTCAGTAGTGACCAGTGTGCTCTGCCTCAGGCTCTAACAGATTGGTGAAGGTGGCACAGACGACCATGAAATGCACGTGAGACATAGGTGCTTGAGAAAACCGGGGATTTCACTTCACAAGCGTGTACCTCGAACATGCACACAAGCATGCCTCAGAGTTATCGTGGGTCAGTTTCAGACCATTGCAACAAATCGAATCATAGCCTTTCTGCAGGTGAAGGTATTTGCCTTCAATTTGTAAAAAATACCACAGCTACGAAGTGCAGTGAGGTGAAGGCAATAAAAGAAGGTCTGGTTGCATAAGCTTTCTTTGATAATTTTTAACTAAATATTTAAAATTAATACAATGGACATGGACAACAAAGCTGGGGACAGGGTGGGGAGGGAGGGGGAGAAGGGAATCAGTGGGGAGAAAGAAGAAACACCTGTAACAAAAATAAATTAATTAAATAAAAATAAAAAAAATTAATACAGACATTTTATAGTGATAAAAAGAATCAATACACCAGGCAGGTGTAACCATTTTAAACATATATGCACCTACTATTAGAACACCAAAATATATGAAGCGAAAACTGGAAAGAATGAAGGGAAAGTAAATAATTAAATAATAACAGTTGGAGACCTAAATACATTCAATATGGATGTAAACAATTGAACAGAAAATCAACAAAGAAATAAAATACTTGAAAAGCTCTATAAACCAATTAGCCCTAACAGAAACCTATAGAACGTTTCACCTAACATCAATAGAATCTATATTCTTCTCAACTGCACACAAATGCAAGGCTATAGACTAAATCTCAATAAATTTAAAAGGATAAAAATTACACAAAGTTTGTTCAAAATCTGTTCTTTGACCACAATAGAATAAGATTAGGAATTAGGAGCAGGGGAAAAGTTAAGAAATAAATATGTGGGAATTAAACAACACACAACTAAATAACCAAAGGGTTAAAGAAGAAATGAAAAGAAAAATCAGAAACTACTTTGAGATGAATGAAGATGAAGAAACAACATATTAAAACTATTAAAGTGAAATTGATAACCATAAATGACTGCGGAAAGAAAGAAGCTCTCATACTAACAATCCAGCCTTCTACCTTACAATATTGGAGAAATAAAAACATTAAACCTATAGCATACACAAAGAAGAAAATAATTAAGATTAGAACAGAAATTAATAAAATGAAAAAGAGAAAAATCAATGAAACCAAACATTGTGTTGTTTTTTTTTAACTCATCTTTATTGTTGAATGTATTACAGATGTTTCTCCCTTCTTTCCCCCATTGATCCCCTCCTCCCCAATCCCGCCCCCTTCCTGCCTTCCCTACACTATTGTTGGTGTCCACTGGTTATGCATATATGCATAGATGTTCTTTGCTTTATCTCATCCTGTCCTTCCTCCCCCCTTCCCTCTGAGGCTCTTCAATCTAACAACCAATTTGTACTTCTTAATCCCTTCACCTTTTTCGACAATGCCCCCAACCTCCCTCCCATCTGGCAACCAACAAAAAGTTCTTTGTATCTATGAGTCTGTTTCTGTTCTGCTTGCTCATTTTGTTTGTAAATTCAATTGTTGATAGATATGTATTTATTGCCATTTTATTATTCATATGTTTGTTCTTCTTCACCTTCAAGAATACCCTTCAACATTTCATATAATACTAGTTTGGTGGTGATGAATTCCTTTAGCTTTTTCTTGTCTGGGAAACTCTTGATACGTCCATCGATTCTAAATGATAGCTTTGCAGAATACAGTAATCCTGGTTGTACATCACTGCTTTTCATCACCTTGAATATCTCTTGCCACTTCTTTCTGGCCTGCAAAGTTTCTTTTGAGAAATCAGCTGACAGTCTTATGGGAGCTCCTTTGCAGGTAATGAGCTACTTTTCTCTCGATGCTTTTAAGATCCCCTCTTTCTGTTTAACTTTGGCATTTTGATGATGATGTGTCTTGGTGTGAGCCTCTTTGGGATCATCTTGTTTGGGATTCTCTGTGCTTCCTGGACTTGTATGTCTGTTACCTTTACCAAGTTAGGGAAGTTTTCAGTCATTATTGTTTCAAATAGGTTTTCAATTTCTTGCTCGCTCTCTTCTCCTTCAGGCACCCCTATGATGCGAATGTTGGCACACTTGAAGTTGTCCCAGAGGCTCCTTACACTATCCTCATTCTTTTGGATTCTTTTTTCTTTTTGCTGTTCTAGTTGGGTGTTTTCTGTTTCCTTATATTCCAAATTGATGGTTTGCTTCTTGGCTTTACCTACTCTACTATTGTTTTCCTGTAACTTATTCTATATTTCAGTTAGTGCATCCTTCATTTCTGACTGGTCCTTTTTTATGTTGTTGGTGTTCTCCCTAAGTTCCTTGGAGGTCTCCTTAAGTCCCTTGAATGTCTCAGCAAGTTTTTTGAGTAACCTGATAACCTGTGTTTTGAACTCTGCATCTGTTACATTGCTTATCTCTATTTTGTTTAGTTCTTTTCCTGGAGTTTTGTTCTTCTCTTTCATTTGGGACATAGTTCTTTGTCTCTTCATTTTGGCTGCTTCCCTGTGATTGTTTTTATGTATTAGGCAGAGTTGCTATGTCTCCCAGGCTTTGTAGGATGGCCTACTATTGTAGGTGTCCTATAGGATCCAGTAGAATAGTCTCCCTAATCACACCAGCTGGGCCCTCAAGGTGCACCTCTAGTGTGGACTGTACACCCTTCTGCTGTAATTGAGTCTTGATTGCTGTGGCACATCAATGGGAGAGATTTACTCAGGCTGATCAGCTGCAAGGACTGGATGTGCCCACTAGCCACTAACCTCTTACTACCTTGGAGGATTAGCTGTGTAGGGGCCCAACACACAGAGCAAGACTTACTTCAGCAGGGCTCTGGTACCCACTGGGTCCACTCACTGAATGTGTCACTTGTGGAGGTGGTTGGGTGGTGGTGTTTCAGTGTGATCTGAAGCTGTCCACTGGGTGGGTTGGCTCTGGGGCAAGGTCAGCCACTTCCTGTATTCTATCTGAGGCCACCCGGCATAAGCTACAAAGTGATCTGCAGATGGCTGCTTCTTGTGCTGGGCTTGGAGGTGCCCAGGAAAAGCCAAGTTGTGAATCGAAGCTGGCTGCTTCTAGTGCCAGGCCTGGGGCCACTTAACAAGAGGTATGGGGCTCGCTGAGACCAGATGCTGCTTATTTGAGAGATTTTAGGAAACTCTGAAGCAGGATCCAAGACAGGCCAATCCTATGGTAAAGCCTTTGGAAACAGCTTGGAAATTTCAGCTTGGGCCTGAAATTTGGGTGGGGCCGGGCCTCAAGGTATCACCGGGGCGGGGCCAACAGTGTGAGCCAGTTTGCTGGAGTCTCAGATATGGCGGCAGTCTGCCTACCCTGTGGGGGAAGGGCTCACCAAAGAAACAACAGCGGTCTGTTCAAGAGAAAACTGCCCCTCCAGCCCTTGTCACGAGGCCAAACAGCTCAGTTCTTCCCTCTTCTTTGGTGCCCCTCAAGCTGCCTCCCCTCTGAGCTCAGAGGGAGCAAGTCTGAGTAAATCTGTGCGCGGCCCTTTTTCTTTTTCTTTCTTTTTGTACGTGCCCCTAGCGGGAACCGAACCTGGAACTCTTGTCCAGAGGCCAATGCTC